TAGCATGTTGGGAACCTACTCAGATGAGTTTGGAAAACTGGACTTCGAACGTTCACAGCATGGGTCTGGGATGAGCAATCGGTCACAAGCAAAAAGATTTGTTTCTGCCCTTAACAGTGTTGCAGAGAGAACTTACAACAATCTCTTTGACTTGCAACAGCTTCGACAGATTGCGAAGGAGCTACAAATACGAGTAAGTTTGGAAATCAAGCATTTCTTCAACAACAAACTGCAAGACCAGTCAAAATTCTTTATTGCAAAATGGGAAGTGGAAAAGGCACATCTGTTGTGGCTCTCTGCAATGAACAGGGATAAGCAGTGTTTGCTGCTTTTAGGGTGAACACACTTTCTGAATTGCCTTTGTTTGTAAGCTTTACTGATCTTACTAGCTGTTTGACAGTAGCAACTCCTTGCACTAGTAAGGGCTGGTTCTAGTTCTGAAGCTGGTCTTTAACAAGATTCTGCTTTGTTTCATGAAAGGCAACTTTGGTTCCAGTATACTTTACTTCCTCTGGCTCCCCACACACCTACTTTTGTTCCCAAATTTAGACTGTTGTGGTGTCCATGTTGCATTTCAGCAGTGCAGTTATGTTTCTGCTTGGCCTTCTCTGGCCCAAATATGCCTTTTCAGTTTTCATTCCTGCTTTGAGCATCCTAATATTGTAACTTGATAGGAACATCATGTAGGACAGATGGCCACAAATGTGTGTTATCCTGTAATTGATTTGCATTCTGTACTTGTGGGGGACTCAGCCAAACAAAAATATCAATAGCTTTAAATGCCAATTTAAAACTTAAAACTGGATTTCACGTGTAATGAATGAAAAGTAGTGACAATTAATTTATCTCTATGGAACTTATTATGAGCAATAATGGTGTTCTTTCTATCGCCTGGTTAACCTCCTTTGGCCTGCTGGGGCAAGATAGCTTCAGTCTCCAAACTTGTTCAAATATTGACTACACATACTTGTGTCTGACAGAACGTGTTATTGCCAGCTCTCTTCTCACGTGATCATTCATTCAGTGACTAATTATTTACAGCTAACTCAATTAATTCTAATTTTCCCTTTACATATAGAATATTTTTTGCCCATTCAAAGTTCTATACCTGTAACAAATACTTGGAAATCAGCGAGTGCTGTAGAAATCAGACTTTTCTTTGGCAGATACTTGTGTTTCAGAACTTAGATTTATACATAGGTTACTCTGTATATTTTCTGCCTGCCTTAAAGTGTGTAAGTAAAGCACAAAAGGGTGCAACTGACAGTATGCCATCTCCTAGGTCAGCCGTTTGCTAGGGAAACTAACCTATTCTTAGCTCACTTTATTTCACTAAGTTCTTTCAAACAGTTTATGTTGCTTTACATCAGATAAAATGTCAATCTTCCAATTTGATATTTATTTTTTTCATTTCCCCCCCCCCCCAGGTATCTGATTTTGAAAGCTTTATTGGATCCCTAAATGACCAGGGTTATCTTTTGAAAAAGGGTTCAAGAGTTTATCAGCTTCAGACTATGTGAAAAGAGCCACTGTGATAAACGTTCTTGAGACATAATCGTTACGTCTGGAATGGGCTGATGGATCTGCAGCAACAAAGCACGCTGAACCTGCCTACCACAGTAGTCAATGCACCGCTGGCAGTGTTGCTTACTGAGGTGTGAGATTCCCTTTCAGAAACTAGCAGTGCCCACAGGCTTGCTTTAAGCTGCCGTAGGACCAACTGACACATGGTCTGCTAGCCCAAATGAGACTGTGTAAGACTAGCATGTACTTCATCATCCTTGAGGAGTGGAAAGTGTATTTTGTATTGACATTATCACAGTGCCATAACAGATTTTACTTCTAAAAGAGATGTTGGACCCATAAATTTAAAACCAGAAATTTTTCATGAGAAGGTGAGTTGTCTTTTTTAGCATTGAGGAATTTGAAGTATAGAAATGTTTTCCAGAAATTTGGGACCATTCAGGCTGAGACAACAGTTTTGTGGCTGTAGGCAATGATACCTCATTGAAACTGACTTAATTTTCTGCTTTGCAGCTCTGTATTTATTGGTCTCTGTAGCTGAGATTTTATTTGAAATGCAAGTCTGATTTAAGAAAAAATCCTTAATACAATATTTAATTTGTAAAACAGGAATTAGATTTTTTGTCTTTCATTAAACTTTATGTATGAGAAATCTGTGATTTGTTCAAGAGTGTTATACAGTAACAGTGACCACTGGTGTGGGCGTTAATGGCCATTACAAGATACATAATACGGACATGTTATGTATGTTTCTGTGTAACTCTGTTCCTGCCACAGAAGAATGCATGTTCTGCAAGAGTAGAGTACTGAATGTTTCCTGACTTTTATCAAATCAGAATCATGGTCTAGTGCAATAAAATCGCAGATGAGAAGCTTTCAGTGTATTTAAAAAACGAACAAACAAAACCAAACACCCCCACCCCCAACAAACCAGAAACCCCCCACCAATTAAAAAAATTCAAGAATGCATTGCTGATACTTGTGGTTTTTTCCCCCCTTTTATTTCTAAGGTAGGATATGATGCATACATCATAAGATAAGAAAATAAGCTTCATTATTAAAAAAAAAAGCAGAAATAAAGTGACATAAGGATCTGATCTACAGCATGTGTGGGCATACAGTAGTCATCTGCCCATGTGTGTTAGCATTTGGGCAGCAGAGGAGACACACCTTCTTGCAAACTGGGAGTTAATCTCACATGAAGAGGCAACCTACTGTATCAACCACTGGGAAGTAGGTGTTAGACATTGATTTTAATCTTTTCCAACAGATTAATGCAGGGTTTGGGGTTTTTTTGTTTTCCCTCTATAGGAAATCTTTTCAGACTTGCACAATATAACCAGGACATAATGGGTAGAGAACAGAACTGGAATTTTGGAAGCAGGCTCCCACCTCCCTTCTGCTGCTCTGGAATGCTGAGGCCTGCGCTCAGAACCACAGAATGGCAGACATGGGAAGGGACCCACCACCCTGCTCAGGCAGGGCCATTTAGAGCCAGGTGCCCAGGCCCGTGTCCACTTGGGCTTTGAGTATCTCCACAGCTGGAGAACCCATTCTCCGCTCTGCAGAGGTGCTTTCCAGTGGGTAGTCATCCCTCCCCAGGTGCAGGACTTTGCACTTCCCCTTGCCGAACTTCATGAGGTTCCTGTCGAACCAATTCTCTTGCCTGTTGTATCGTCTGCGAACTTGCTGGTGGTGTACCCCGTCCCAGCATCCAGGTCACGTTCTTCCTGGTTCTCCCACCATGTTTAAAAAAACCAGCAACCCCATCTATTCAATGTGGTAGAGGAATTAATAAATTAACAAAGTCATACATATTTTAGCTACTCTTTCTTGATTCTTTTAAACAGCTGTGGAAGGGGTAGAGTTAAATATCCTACAGGTGATTGGTTTTTTGTTTGTTTTTTTTTTTAAAGCCTCCATTTGTTTTGCCAGTTACTGACTGCTGGGTGTTATTAATGCTGATTGAACACCTGGGGGTTAGACCTCAGCTGGTCGATAAACTGATGCCAGAAATATGAAAAATAACAATGTCTCTTAGTGTTAGGGAAGGTGGGTAGGAGCAAGCCTCAGCAGCAAATAAATGATGGCACCCGGAAAAGTAAACGCTGGTTCTTTCTCCTTGAGCTAAAGTAAACGGGGGGGCCGAAGAGCAAGTACCAAGAACAAGAGACTACCTAAGTCCTCCGAGAAGTTTCTTACGGCAAAGCAAACCTTCACCTTCCTCCGCAAAGGGCTTGTAAGAGAACAGCTGGGGCAAAAAGCGCGGCCCCACGAAGCCGCCCCGCCGTGGCAGGCAG